AGTCTGAGGCGTGAGGGGCGGACTGGTCATCCCCTCGCAGCCCCCCCTCAGGGCTTGTCTGGCACTTGGGGCTCCACTTCCCTAAGCAGGGTCACCCTTCAAGCCTTCCAGCCCCCTCCCATCTAGGCCTGCTGGGGCTGAGGATTCAGGGGGCCCCTTCTAGCCATTGATGTCCCAGCAGGTGATGCTCTTGGAATCTTAAAGAAGTGGAATCAGCCCAGCACTTTGGGAGGCGGCTGCGAGAGGGTTGCCTGAGTTCAGGGGTTTAGACCAGCCTGGGCCACACGGCAAGACCGCGTGTCTACAATAAATCAAAAAAGTAGCCAGGGGTGGTGGCACACAGCTGTAGTTCCAGTTACTTGGAAGGCTGAGACGGAAGGATCACCTGAGCCCAGCAGTTTGAGGCAGCAGTGGCTGTGAGTGTGTCACTACCCTCCAGCCTGGGAGATAGAGATTCCAACTCAAAAAAAAAAAGAAATGGAGTTCTGCCTGTGGGGTTTTGGGGACAGAGCTTGGGGGGGAAGAAGCCTCCCCTGTTCCATCCTCAGATGCCAGGGTGTCCATTCTGGCTCTGCCGCTTAGAGCCAGCGACCTGGGGCCGCCCTCCTTTCCTGGGCCTCCCCCTCCTCCTCTGTAAACTAGGTCTGAAGAGCCCATTCACAGACTTGCCAGCAGAAGAAAGAAGAGGGGTAGTGACGACAGACACACTGACTGGCCAGGGCAGGGACCTCTTGGCTGGGAGAAACAGGGAGGGCCCTGTGGGGGGTGGGCACCGCCCATGTCCTCCAGGAGGCCAGGCGGTTAGGAGGGCTTTGTGAAGGAAGGCTGCTGTGAGTTCTCTTTGTTATTCTCTGGAGGTCACTCAAGAGGAGGTGGGGGTGGGCTGGCGTGGCCCCTTCAGGTGAGAGGAGTAAAGACAAATCAGAGCTAACGTTGAGGTATCCCTGACCGGACCCCTGCTCTTCAGTCATGCTAACTCCATGGATGGAATCGAAGGGCTGCTGTCCTCAACTTAGCAGTGATAAAACCAGGGCTCAGATTTTTTTTTTTTTTTTGAGTTGGAGTCTCACTCTGTGGCCCAGACTGG